GAAGACCTTCGTCTCGCGCATCGCTTTGGTCGGCGCGTGGAAGTAGTCGCGGACCGCGTCCTCGTCGGACGAGTTGTAGCGCCAGACGAAGCCCTCGAAGCCGAGCACGTAGGGCAGCTCCGTGCAGTGCATGGTCTTGAGGGGCATGACCGTGTCCGCCTCGACGTCGTTCTGGAAGAGGTAGCGCGCGCGCCTCGCGCGCGTTCCCGTGCTCGCCGCGAGCGCCGTGGGCACCGTGAACCAAAAGTCGGTGGTGAAGTCGACGGCGTGCTCGAAGGGCGAGTGGCCCGCGTAGGCAGAGTAGATGCGGCGCAGCAAGTCGTCGCGCGCGGCGTCGCGGCACCGCTCCGTCCAGCCGAGCGTCCGGTTCACCGCGAGGTCCAAATTCATCTCCAGGACGTTCCGCCCGACGTAGCCCACGAGCTCGTCGGCGATGTCCGCCTCCGTCGCCGACGCGTTGCCCACGCCCATGAGCCAGTAGCGGTACTCGTCGTGGTTCGAGCCGACGATCATCTCGAAGCCCGGATCGTCGAGCGCGTCGCCGAAGGGGTCGGCGTCGCCGGCGCAGAGCGCGTCCATGAGAGGCGCCGGCACGGCGACGCCGTCGGGCACGACAGCGACGACGTAGCAGGCCTCGACGAGCTCCGTCGCGTTCGCCGCGCGCAGCTCGCGGCCGAGCGCGTCGCCCGTGAACGAGCAGTTGACGACGTCGCACCAGCAGTCGCCCCAGATGACGTCGGCGGCGACGTCCGGCGCCGCGCCGCCGATCTGGTTCGACGCCCACCAGGGGCTCTCGGCGATCGCGCGCGCGAAGAGGCCCTTCGCCGGCGGCGACGACGCGAGCAGCAGCACGGACGTGCCGCCGGCGCTCTGGCCGAAGATGGTCACGCGGGCCGCGTCGCCGCCGAAGCCGGCGATGTGGTCGTGGACCCAGCGGAGCGCCGCGATCTGGTCCCACAGGCCCGCGTTGTTCGCGGCGACCGCTCCGGGCACCGCGAGCCAGCCCATCGACGAGAGGCGGTACTGGATGGACACGACGACGAGGTCGCCCTGGGTCGCTAAATCCTTGAAGTCGTAGGTCGTCGCCGCGCCGGACGTGAGGCCGCCGCCGTGGATGAAGACCATGACGGCCCGCGGCGCCGCGCGCGCGGCGGGCGCGAAGACGTTGAGCGTGAGGCACTCCTCGTCTCCGATGACGGCGCCGTCGAGCCCCCACTGGAGGCACGCGGGGCCGAACCGGGATGCATCGAACGTGCCCTCGACGGCGGCGGCCACGGGCGGCGCGAAGCGCGGCGCGGTGGCGTAGGTGATGCCAGCGAAGACGTGCAAACTGCCGTTGACCGTGCCGACGACGGTGCCGTTCCCGACTTTCACGGACGGGCGATGCGCCGCGCCGAGAGCGATCGTCAGCGCGGCGGCGAGGGCCCGGGCGGGCATGTTCGCGAGCGCTGCTTCAAATTCCAGCACGCGAGAGTCGGCTTCTTGCCACTCGGCTTTAGCGACGATGCAGTCTGCATTGCAGATCAACTCCCGCCCGGCTGGATCGACCGGGGGCAGCCGTCGAATGTTGTCGGGGATGGTCGTGGCGTCACGAAGGTCCTAGGCCCCGGGCGGCGCCGCGGACCCGTCGACGCGTGCCGGACCGAACAGCGCATCCCAACTCGGCACACGCCCGCCATGGCGGACCCGCCGCCGCGGTCCCCGGCCCGCCACCCGGAGCTGCGGCGGCCGAGCAGCGGGGGGAGCCTCAACGGCGCCCCCCCGCGGGGCCCGCCGACGCCGACGTCCGGCGGCCGCGAGGACCCGCGGCGCAACGGCGAGCGGGCGCCGCGCCGCGGCTCGAGCGCGCGGAATCCCCAGAGGCTGCCCGACGCGACGGTCGTGCTCAACATCTACGACGTCGTCGAGCACCCCTTCGCGTACAGCATCGGCAAGTGGATGACGCTGGGCATCCACCACACGGGCATCCAGGTGGGCATGCGCGAGTTCGCCTTCACGCTCGAGGGCATCGTCATCACGGAGCCGCACCGCATCCCCCGGTGCAAGCTCACGCACCGAATTCTATTGACGCGGAACGCGACGGACGCCATGGTCCAGGGGGCCCTGACGAAGCTCCAGCGCGAGTTCACGCCGGCGACCTACGACCCGCTCCTCAAGAACTGCAACCACTTCAGCGACGCCTTCTGCGCGCGCATCGGCACGAAGCACGTGCCGCGCTGGGTGAACCGCGCGCCGACGATGGCGTCCATGCTCGGCACGCGGTTCCGCCTCCGGCCGGCCAAGGTCACGGCGCCGCCCGTGGCCTGGTCCGTCATGATCCCCGACGGCGAGGCCGCGGCCAAGGGTTTGGCGTCGAACCCGCTGCCGCGCGCGCCGCCGGGCGCGCTCGTGCTCG